TGGAATCTGCGTTGCTTGTTATTTGTCCTGGATTTACTGTTGTTAAAGAGTGTGTAAATGTTCCCTTGGCTGGATTTAAGGAGTAAAACTTGTCAGTTCTTTTCAGTTTTAACTCTAAAATACCCTTGAACTATTGTGTAATTCTGACTGCTAGCTTAAACAACCAACCAACCCTAAACTGGCGTGACTTAATAGGTACAAAAATTTGCTTGCTAGGAACTTCCAAATATCCTGGGTCACTGTGTGCTATCTAGAACCCTTAGGTTTAAAATGAAGTGGCTATGAAATACCCTGGTAAGCTTAGAGTTTCTTAGGTTTCTTTATTTTTAAGAGTATATGTTTTCATTTTCATGCACGCTTCAATTGGAATAATTGTGGGTTATATGGAGTCTATGTAATGCGATGGAAACTTACCTAGGATTCTGTTGGTTTCTCATCTCCAATGGCCTACGCTTTGCCCAGTTGCTCTTTTCATGCTCTCTTCAGCTTCTCAGGTTTTTGAGTAGGTTGTTTGATATGCAGGGTATGGAACAGAATGTTAACAGTGAAACAGAATATTACTTGGAGATTAAACAGATAAATTCCACTCACATGTTTCTGGCAGAGATGTTCCTAAAGATGCAACACTTGCATCTCCATCCTTGTATTGCCAGAAGATACTATATTAAGAGTATTTAATAGTATTTTCTTTGATGAATTTCAAGTATGTTTCTCTTTCTGTATCTTTTCATCCTTTAATTAAGCTTTCTAGGAATGTTGTTGCCTATAATCCATGATTCCTTACGCACTTGAGTGGTGTTGCATTTTATTGTAGAATAAATTCTTTTTGCTAGAGCAAATTTCAAGCAAACTTAGTTCTTTGTCTGTAGAGCATCCCTAATATACAGTTTGTTAGTAGACTTTCAGGGATTACCTCTGTTTCTTTCAAGTTTTCCCCTAAGCTAAATACTGTCTTTCCTGTCATGTAGCATTTATTGTTTTGTGTTGTACCACTATCTATGTAACCTATAAATTATGCTTGTAATAAACATGAAGAGACCTGTTCCTGAGCCACGATTCTGCACATAACCAAGTGCTGTCAGCTCAGCCATGCAATATGTATGGGCTTGACAGCTAGACACTAGTTGATCCAACCTCTGGAAGGATGTTTTTGTTGTGGCCGCTAAAATACTAAAGGTTGAAGGTCAGTTCTGAAGGTTGATGTGGAAGAAATGCTCTTGCTTTGAAAAATCATGGAGTTAGAGGATAATAAACCCCCTCAGCAAATGTATTGCTGAAAAGTAGCGAATTTACTTTGCTGAATTTAGCTTTTTGTTCAGAGTATGTATTTCTGGCAGCATGAGTGTTGTATTTGGAATGATTCAGTGAATTGAGAAAGTTACTTCAGTAAACATTTCGGTTTAGGATACCGTAGGGGTGTTTGTCACTAAGTTCTAATCAACAAGAGATGCTTGCCTGATATATTTGGCACTCTGACTGATTCTTGTAAGTGCTCTCAAGTGCTTATTCTGTGTCTCACTCTTGTCATACTCGGAGATGGGTATTTATTATTCAGAAGCAGAGCAAAACTTCATTCTGATGTTCTCAATCTCTTTTAATTACAGAAGAGTAATACAGTTTTATGGATAAGTAGAAAAGTTGCTTGGGATTTTTCTTTTTCCTTTAATTCTTTCTCTACATTCACCTAATGCCAAGGAAGAAATTAAGAGACAACTCAAACTTTATTGAGATTATAAACTTGTGAGTAGTTTCCTTTTTGTACTGCTTGAGGAAATCACAAATTATCTACTGTTGAAGGTAAGTATTAAAACTAGAAAGACATCTCTCTTGGCATTGTCAACTGAAACTGGGGGCAACTTATGGGGCTCAAAGCAACCATATTTTACCAAAACAAACAGCAGTGGAGATATTGTGCAATGCCAGAACTATGTGTCAGTCTATTTATGCAGCAGCAAAGAAAATTCCTGTGTGCATTGTTCCTTTGGGGTCATCTGACAGTGTGATGGTTTGTGTCATAATTAGGATATGTTTGTGCTACAATTTATATTTGCACAGAAGTCTGCAATGGAATAGAACTCTCTGTACTATAATTGTTTGAAGAGTGAATAGACTTCAAATACACAGCTGTTTTTCAGAAGATGAAGCTTATACAGATAATAAAATGTATATTAATGCTATGCAGTGATTTTTAGGTTGAGAAAGGATGATTAAACAGCATCTGGTAGTCTTTAATGCTTTCTTTATCCTATTTGCCAGACTTGAGATAGAGACTGGAAAAATAGAGAACTTCCCATTCCATGCTTTCTTATTCCATGTTGATAGTTGTAAATGTTAGTGTTGGCATTTTGAGGGTTTTATTAGATTGCTAATTTGAAATGGGCAAAAAGCCACCAAGAAAATAAGTTCATATGATGCTCTTCTGTGAACACTTTGAATCTATTAGTACTCCTAGTAGTTTCAGTGGTACATCATTATCTAATACATAAAGATAAGTAGGGATGGCCTGTGAAGAACCGTGACTTTGGAACCACTTTGTGGTTTACCTAAGCTTGTGTTGGATTGGAGCAAATGGGATGTGTGCTGTTGGTTGCCTGGGAGTTTTGGAAGCTCCCACAGGTGGGATGTTGAAGGTATGGGAGAAGTTTGGACATGAAGGAGTGTTCTGCAGGGAAAACTCAGAGTAATTTTTTCCATTGGCTCCTGTGGAGCTTGAAGTAAGTTTTCCTTTGCTTGTTCTGTGTATTTAAAAGTTCCAGTACCTGCATTTACAGACCAGGTTATTCTAGTAAGTGTATTTCCAGGGATTTTCTACTTGAAAATAATAGGGCAGGGTTTTTCTTAATACTGCAGTGAAATACTTACATGAGTATAGTTGTTAGACAAATCAAATAGGGGTCTTTTTAGCAGTTGAAAAAGGAAAAGAGGTAAAGAATTTTCCTTGCAGTCATTTCGTGATGAAGTAGGGGGACTCTCCTGGATCTTTCTTCTAATGAAGAGATTTTCATTTGGGAAGAGGGATTCTGGAGGTGGATTCTGCATCTGTGATGGTGGTATTACTGTCCTTTCATAGCAACTTTTAAAAGCCTCATACATTAATAATTCCAAAGGAATTCACTGTAGGTATTTATTGTGCAACTTCTTCTTGGTCTTTCCAGTCACATGTATGTTTTAGAATAAAGTTTACCAAATTAATCTTGGACTTTGCAGACAGTGTCTTTTGCAGACAGTATCTTTTGACTATGTCTGCTGATTTTGGCTGCAAGTTAGAGTTTGCAGATGTGCTAGCATAATTAGTTGACGTGGTGTTTTGTTCTTAAGCATGTGTGTTCTGTCACTTGGAATTTTACTGTAAAACAGCTCCATCTTAAGTTTTTATCTGATACGTTTTACTGACTATTACTTAAGTAAAACATAAGTTACTTATGCTTTACGTAACAGTTACTGCCTGTTAAGCACTGTATCTTGCAGAGTTTGGAAGACTTTGAGAAATGGTGTTTGTGCACATAATGTCTCTACAGTATTATGTTGATCTTAGTTGGCCATTTGTCTTGTTCATCTTGTCTTGATCATCACCAGCTCAGCTGTACTAATCAACTGTTTATTAGACATGACTTTTGTTTATTAGTGTTTTCCTGACTTTAGACAATAGAGAAGCCTAATTTATTTACCGGCATTTCAATGTTTTCTTATACAAATGTTTCTAAAGCGTTCACTGGCCATTGGAATGACCAGTGTGTATTTATTTTCACATTCTAAGTTGCATTGATGACACAAGGGGTTTTTTTTCCCTTCAGTTTCCTACAAATCCCTCTTCTAAAGTATGGAGTTGTTCACATTCACACTACTGTTAATAACAATTTCTAACATAGTTCAGATTGCAACTTAAATTTTACCAGAATAAGTGGGTAGATAAGGTTACGCTCAGTATTTGCTTATAAATGTTGTGTGTAGTTGTATCTGTTATTCTATCTGGCGTATGCTCACTGAGTTTATAGACCAATTAAATGCCTTTAATGTATTTTTATTGAGGCTTTTGATAAAGAGTGGAAATGGTTTAGGATGTAGGGGCTCTTTCACATACTGAGTCCTATCATATCTTCCTGACAGAAACCCCACAATGTAGAAATATATTCTTTAATCTTGACTAGTCTCAATGCTCACTGTAATAAACATGCAGTAGCTGATGTGAGTTAGCTCAATTCCTGTTCCCTGATAACTTTTCGCTCTGTGTATTATTTCACTTTAGTTCTGTTTGGTTTGGTGAAAGCTTTATTGAATTTGAAGGGAAAGCCTTTAGAGGGCTTTGAGCCCAAGCGCTTAACTCTTAGAACATTCTGATTCTAACCCTCTGGAGA